AGCAGGGAGCCCGATGCGGGGCTCGATCCCAGGACCCCGGGATCATGACCCGAGCCGAAGGCAGACGCTTAATGACTGAGCCACCCAGGCGCCCCAAAATGTTAGAAAATATTTTTAACCGTCCCAGGCCCACCTATTAGGACATGGTTTGTCACAGTAAGATTACGGTAACAGTGAACCCTTTTGCGAGTACTTATTTTGGATTGCCTTGGTACTCAGGAGTGGAGCAGGTGGCTGATCTGCAGGTTAGGTCATTGACAAAAGTCTTTAAATCTTGGGGGAATTCCTGCTGCCCTGCTTCCTTGATCTGGCTACCCCCCGGGCTCTTGGATTCAGTCCACACACTTACAGAGGGCCTCCCCTGGCGGACCGGAAGCGAGGTGCTGGGGTCAGCCATGAGTAAACAGGGTCTTGCCCTTGAGTAGCTCTGAGAAAGCAATGGCATGTGGCCACCACGGGCTTTGATTTGGGGACCTAGGGGGAGGAGGAACCACAGAGCCCAGGAATCCTGACCTGGCTGAGGGTGGGGGTGGTGTGCTTTAAGAAGTCCAAGGGAAGAATCTTTTGCAGAGCTCCCTTTGCTGGCATGGGGGAGTCAGAATCTAGAATCAACGAGTTTGTTGTTAGGTAATTGGGTCTCGTTCTGGTTTGTCTTGTACCTGTCATCATGGATCGTGGGATTCACTTTTGCGATGTTAGGAGTAACTCGGTTCCTTACTCTGTGATAGCATTTGGGTCCTTGGCTCGTGGCTGCTTTCTGTGGCACGAGGTCACCCTTCTTACGGAAAGGCGAGATCCAGGACAGCCTGCCGGTGGCCAGAGCAACCCTCTCCGCTTTACCACCGCCACTCTCACCAGCCTCCTCGAGTCAGGCGGCCACTAGACTTAAAGTGACAGGGCTGAATGCATGTGTTTGGGTCGTGAGGGAGACCCTCACTGTGGCCAGTGAGGGAGAGACCCCCACACACAGGTAGCCGCAGACACAGTGGGATTGCAGGGGACACAGACACGCACCGGGGCGGTGTGGGCATGACGGAGGCAGCGTCGATAGTCGGGGGCTGGGGGCAGTGGCAGGGCAGGTTAACAAGTGTAACTTCTGTTTGTCCAGCACCTTCTGTGTCCTGGGGGCTCTGCCAAGCAGTCGCTCGTCTTCACGACAACGTTTCATTTTCCCATTTTACAGATGATGAGCCAGGGGCACGGGAGAAGATGAGATTCTCCTGTGGGGCATGCAGCTGTGGAGTGGCGGGGCCAGCTGGTGAAGGACCTCACAGGCCCCCCACGGTGATAGAACTTTATATGGAGGGCGCCTGGGTGGCTCAGTTGGTTAAGC